ACTAGCAAAATACGACTAAAATCTAGAAACGGAAAGGAAAACATATCAAACAAAATGCCAAAACCAATTCAAAACAGCAGCCCTGTTCACATCCTCAAAAACGTCGAACACCCTATACGTCACATACAAAGTCCATCGTTCTTCGCCACAAATCATCACGACGACCGCCGAATCGGCGAAACACCCGGTTAACAAATCTCTCAGGAAAATCCTTCTTCAGAAGCTCTTGCTGCAGACCCAGTACCTTCCCTGGGATCTAGGCTCGGATGGAAGTATTCTGATTAATCCTGTTCAGGTGGCCGCTAATCACGGCGCTCTTTTGTTTCTTACTCCCCCAGGAATGGAAAGATTGCCCATTCTGAATTAGCATTCTATCTTCTGTCCAAATCCGAGATTCATTTCGGGAGAGTTGCACACTCCCAACAAACGGAAAAGTTTGATCCGTTCTGATCTGACAGCCAAGAAAAACAAAGATTCCTGTCCCATCATCTGTCCTCTTTAGGGTCAGCTCTCTTGGATAACAATGCGTAAGAGCTTCAAAGATGGTCTGCCTCATTGCTTCATCTTTGCTTGAGATAACAAGCATGACATCGTCAATTAACCTCAGCGCCAAAACAGCGGTTGGCTTGTCCAAGCGTACAGATCATTTGATATTCCGAGTACGCACACATGATGCAGGCTAACGGCGGACTCATGCTTTTTCCCATGGGTACGCCCACAACCTGTTTCAGAAGGACACCGGTAGCAAAGCAGAAGGTATGCTCAACCTCCAGGTGTACAAACATCCGAATGTCAGACAGCTGCAATCGCTTCAAATGGTCTGCTCCTGTAGTGACTCCAAACGACGACCCCTTCCCCCGAGTATTAACTCGAACAAAGTCACAGCCCTTAGACGTGTAGTGCCCAATGATCCAGTCAGTGGCGTTCAGCAGCACCTCGTGAGGAAGCTTGCTGAACATCTCCTTCACATCGAAGGAGTAGGAGCTGATTGTTCGTTCGCCACCTAGCCGGCTCAACTTATTATTCAAGAGCTCCAGGCGGTTGGTAAGATCAGAAATGGAGCGCAAATTAAAGTGCCATTTCCTCGGCAAATTGTACAGAAGGTGATTCAAGGCCTTACTCATCAGGCGGGCTGTTCGTACCATTGGTTCCCTGAAAGAAGGACAGATCGGTCTGAACCTAGTCAAGTCCTTCTGTTTCGGAATTACGTACGCTGCCCCGAAGGTTCCACTACCCTCCCAATGCACTACCTTACCCAGGTCATGGCGTTGCACATCTTTGCGCAACTCCCTCAAAGCTTGCGTCACCGAATACGTAACGATACGATACCCGGGATTGCACACAAACATCTTCATCATGGCGTCAAAATAAACGCCGGGGCACATGGCCACGGATTCACCGGAATTCTGGTCCACAGGGGCAATCACCAACCCTTTCAAACGATCCGTCAAGGAGTTAACCTCGTCAACTGATACACAGGAGGACTGGATATCACAGTCCGAGATACAAGAAGACCAGAGCTATCCGGGATAAAATCCCCCGAGTTTCTCCATGTTCGGAAGCCCGAACACAATTCCTCTCGCAACAACCGCTCTGTCATCACATCCAATTCTCGGGATGTTATTAGAATTCGCCAGGAGTGGGTGCACATCCGCTACCTCACTCAGGCGAAACAGCAGGTGTCCATTCACCCGCGGAAAAACAGAACCTGCGCAATCACAGGTAAGCACACCATGAGTTGAAGCTACTCTATGGTTATGCAGCATATCGGCAATCGTGGGATTTTTAGTCCCCACGATGCGAATTTTTCGACGCGCGCAAAATAAAAAACACTGCGGCAACTGACAGCCCATCAACATGTCATTAGCAACCTTCCTGACTTCGGACACCACCAACCGATCATCGAACTGGATGCGAAACGTAAGATCACTGCTAAGACTCAACTTAAAACGTTCACGAAAACAACGGGAAACTAATCTCCGCAGGTACTTCCTGGTCGACTTCTTCGAGAAGTCCTTAATCACCCGATAGATCCTCAGAACTGCTCTCATGCCCCAGCTATATACTTCCTTCAGTTTGCTGGGGTTACACAGGATGCCAACTAAAAATTGCTTCAAGAATTTACATTTGGCCTTCCTTTTAACAATATGAACAATCTCAAATACACACCCCTGTTCCCACAGCGCTTTACAATCTTTCAATGACCGACAAACAGAAGTCACTTTAATTTTGCTCTCGCCAAACATACGGGACAACTTTTTCCACTTTGGTAACCAGTCGGTCCCTCACGATAACACGACCCGGGGATGGTTACCCGAGTTCAGGGAATCTTCGAGGAAGGCGTACAGATCAAGGAAATCGTATCCCTTCTCACTCCAACAAAATTGTACAGGATCAACTCTTCGACAGTTGTCAGTTAACGGTCTTCCCTTAGCCCGACTCCTCTCCCTGCGTCCAGGCTCCCTATTAAAAGACTTCTTTGAGTGCTTACTACCAACGGAATTAAGGAAGGGGGACCATCTGCTAATATATAATTCCTCCAGCTTACCCAGATCCTTTCCTTCGAATGTATCAACAGGGAGAAGAACATAGTTACCAATCCCGAAAGAGGAGATCCATCTATGAAAATGCGACTGCGTACGTTTCCTAACAGCATACAGATGTTCCCGCCACCTCACATCGCATGTACGTGTCGTTTTTCCCACGTAAAACAATTTACAATAAGGAGAAACGGCTACATACACTACACCAGGCAGACTCAGAAACTTAATCCGGTAAGTAGCGTACAGTCCTAACCACGATTCTTCGTACTTGGTCAGCCACTTGACTTTTTTCGTCAGCATCAATAAAATCATAACCATGCGAAGAAGCGCCTCCAAACATCGGTTAGTATGCACCTGAGAGCAGCGAAGACTAGTGAGGTACCTGCACAACTCCAACCAACATTCTGGAGTGACATCACATCACCCCTGCGTATCGACTGAGTTTTCATCACCCACATCTGCCGAATCGGCGATGCGGATCACCTCCGTCGGAGGTGGAGGAGCTGCGTACTGCTGCTGGGCCCGATGCTCGGCGAGATCGAAGATTGCGTCAACTTTCCCAACGTATGGGATACCTTCGTCTTTGCGCAAACGCTGAAGCTCGTCGGCATTACAATCTTTCAACTCATGCATTATCGAATCTCGGTAACGAAGAAGAGCCAACGCGCGTCCTGCTGGTGTAATTCTCCCACTTGGTGGAGACTTCTTTTGTCCGGACTTCAACAGTTTCGCTAACGGAGTCTTGACCGGGGTCTTCTTCTTCGCAGGGATCGGTGTCCGAGCCCCCTGCTTCAATCTACCCCGGGTCATACGAAGATTCCCCTTGTCCGCCTTCAAGTTGGAAACCACCTGCCGACGAGTTCGCTTTGGCGGTAGTTCCATAGGTGGGCTGTTCTCCATCGTGACGTCTTGTCCACGCTTCCTCTTTTCGCTAAAACACAGGCGACGAGTCTAGGCGCTCAACTCTTGCGTGACGCTAGTCTCGCTGTCACCGCTGCTATAATCTGGGTCGCTCTCCTCAGCTGACTTGTATTCCACCTTCGTTTTGCCTTTTTCATCCGCTGCTCCTCCCGCTAAAACCGGCAGCACCGCTGTCTTCCATTGGCTAATTCAGTCATCCTTGATCTCGCTAATCAATATCGCCGCATGCATGGTGACATCCTTCTTCATCTCTGCTCGTAAAGCGGCCTCTTGCTTGGCCTTCTTCTCCTTCTTTCGTAGCTTAGCTTCACGACGTGCCTCTTCTTGGGATCGTATGACTTCCTCCTCTTCGAGTCTCCTCCTCTCATCCTCCTTCTCCTTCTCTTTTTCCAACTTGCGCCGAGCTTTCTCATCCTTCTTAGCTTGAACAGCGTTGACGTGCTCCTTGATTGAAGCAACACCTTTCGAAAGTTTGGCCACCGTCTCGCGCAGTTCGGACTCCTTCCTTGGAGAATGCTCTCGTCTTGACTCGAATCTCCGTGGGGATCGAGTTCTTCGGGAGTCGGAGGACGTGGATGGGCGGCATGGAAGTTGCCGCCGCTCTTGCAGAGGACACTGATTGGCATAGTGTCCTGGTTCGTTGCAGCTAAAGCACGTCACGGGGGGCCGATGTGGTCTCCACTCCTTGTCATCTCGCTGATCGGGGTTCCGGTCCCTGTCATCCCGCCAGTCGGAGCTTCTGTCCCGGAGATCCCGACGGTACCAGACATCTTCGGTGCTCTGGCAACCTCCTTTTTCACATGGAACCGGTAAAACTTCCTTGATCTCCGTAGGTCGCCGCGCTCAGGTCCGTCTTCCGTCAAACTTTAGCACAGAATTCTTGGTCGTAGCTTAACGGTACAAGAGTGGTGCACACATAATAACGCTCACTTCAACCCGGTAGGCTTCCCCAGGTAAGTTCACGTATGCGATAAGATGGTATTGATGGTTCAAACATAGTGAGACAAACAAACCACAAGAATGGTCGTAAGCACACTGTCACCAAAATGACACGTAGACGCAGTGTAATCGTAACCCGCAGGTTTCCACTTCAACAGACCAACAACCCAAGATCCACCATCATTCCGCTAGCCACCCTTGGTGACGGTCGGCCATCGTCACAGACGCCCGTCACCGAAGGAACCCAAGAGGTCAAACTCTACTGACGACTACATACTTATAGGACAAAAGGTATCGGTTAAGCCTTCCCCAACATGGACAAGGCTAACCCTTCGACCGAATCCGACAAAAGAAAGAAGAAAAGACAGTGGCCGCGGGTCCGGGCCCTTCTACGCGGCTTCCAACAGCGTC